TATAAAAGAAGTGGATAGATTATAGACAAATTCTATGGGAATTAAAACAAAATAATAAGCCCTTTTGCCCTTGGGATATAGTTCATATGAACAAAAAATCTAGAGGGCTAGGCATCAGGAAGCTAACCTAGATAAACCAAGCTAATCTCATGAAATTGGGTTAGAAAATCATGATCGACAATAAAAACAATTGGGTCAAAGTTATTAAAATGAAATATTTGAAAGAGGAAGATTTCCTCAATCATAAAGCCTTGAATTCAAGCTCTTGGGCATGGAAAATTTTAATAACGAAAAAAGCCACCTCAAAAAGAGGTACGATGTGGAAAATAGAAAATGGGGCAAAATGCAACTTCTGGTAAGATAATTGGACATTTGGGCTGACACTAGACATCTAAAAGAATTCTTTAGTGATTGAAACTGGAGTTGGGAAAACCTAGATTTACAAGTGAAAGAGTTTTATTAACATGGAAAATAGAATATGCGATCAAAATAAAATAATTTCAGCAGTCCCAATTGAAATTAAAGAAAAGATCAAAGCAATTCACCTACTTTCAAGTGATAGAGAAGACTCGTTAGTGTGGGGTACTAGTAGAAGTGGGCCCTCACTACGAAATGGCTAATAATTTCTTAAAATCAGACAATAGACTAAAGCAAACAATGGTGAAGCTAATAAAATATTCCTGAAATATCCTTTGTGCTAAAAAGACAAGTCTTTTGTGGTTTCTCATCCAAAATAATATTATAGGTTCAAATATTGACCCCAGTTGTCCATTCTACAACCAAACAGAGGATAGAGATCATATTATATATATATATATATATCAAAATGTTCAGTAGCAAAGCAAGTCCGGAGCCTACTAGACCAAGATATTAGTCAGTCTGTGGATAACACAGTTACACCGACTAGGACTTAATAACTTGGTGGACCAAAGCTCTGAAATTAAAATTGCATAATAAAATTCAAAGGTTCTCAAAGACAGATGCTACGTTATTTTGGTTTCTTTAGGAGTACAGGAATGAAAAAAAAAAAAGAATAGATCTTTCTCCCCCTCAGGAAATAGTAGCATAAGCGTGGTATTATATATACCAAAAATTATATAGAAGCTAGATGGATCCCACCAGACTTTGACTAAATAAAGATCAACTTTGTGCCAATGGATGCATTATCAGAAACCACAGAGGGGAAGTTCCTTTGAGGCCCATGAGCTAGCCTTGAAGGAAGTAGCGGAGCCAGGAATTTTCTTTTGGGGGGGTTAAGTTAAACAAGAAAATGATATATATATATAGATAGATAGATAGATAGATAGATAGATAGATAGATAGATAGATAGATAGGGAAAATTGGTTTGAGAAGATTTGAATTTATTACATATTTTTTAAAGAAAAAATAAATATTTATTTTAATTTTGGGAGTTGGAGGAGAGTTAGAGTATGATCCTTTACACAAAGTTCAAAGTATTGATACGTATTATGCCAGTGGCTTCTCGATACGTCCCTACAGGGATTATATTGGGTCAGACCATGGTTCAAAGGATAGTCGGGACTTAAATCAATCCTCTAAACCAGTTTTGAAAAAATAAATAAATAAAACATAAAAAAAAAAAAGCACTGGTACTTGGCTTTACATTTTAATTCAAGTTTTAGAGGGTCCTTGGCCCCTCCATGAAGGCAAATCGTTCATCTATAATTTTTGAAGGTGACTAGGTGGTTGTTATTAAAATCCTCCAAGGTTGGTCAAGATGCCCTCGCGTGTCTCTCCCTTTTAGAAGATTGCAAGCAAATTTCTCAAAGACTAACCTCTAGAATTTCCTACAATCACACTCATAGGAAAGGCAACTATCATTGATTGAGCAAACAAAGGTGAGGTTCATGATGACTAGGGGTTGACACGAGCTGAGCTCTTTACGAGCTACTCGAGCTCGGCTCGTTAAAAGCTGGTCTTGGCTTGGTTTCAACCGAGCTCGAGCCCAATTTAGGCTCATGAGCCGAACTCGAATAGCTACGTAATAATAATAATAATAATAATAATAATAATAATAATAATAATAATAATAATAATAATAATAATAATAATAATAATGATAATAATAATAATAATAATGATAATAGAAAATTATAAAAAATATTATATACATTATATTTTTATTTTTATATATAATAATAACTAATTATTATAATTCTTAATTTTTTAAATATCAAATAAAAAATATTTTTATATATACTTTTTTTTATTTTTATAAAACATTTTTTCTCAAGTCGAGCTCAACCTCGAGCCGAACTGAGCTCAAGCTTATGATTTTTTTACCCGAATCGAGCTCAAACTCAAGGTTCTACTTGTACTACCTTGGCGAGCCAAGCTCGAGCCTCGTATTATTTGGCTCGGCTCGGCTCAAATCCACCCCTAATGATGACTGCTTCTTTGTGGTCTATGGGACTTTCATTATCTTGTCCTTCTAGATGCAGTTGGAAGGGCTCACCCTTGTTGAGGATTTTAGGGTTCATTTGGTTCCCTAGAATGTTATTACTGTTTGTTTTGTCAGAATGGGATTTTGATTCCTAGTCTTGGCAGAATGTGTTTCCCTCATATGGCTATGGAGAAAGGTTCTAAATAACGATACGCCGGTAAGGGCGGGCGTATCGGGCAGTATTGATACGGTTTTTTTCTTTTTTTTTCAAATTTGGTTCAAGGGGCCGTTTAAGATTCATCCACCCCCTGAACCGGTCAAAACTTCGATACACCCTCTGTAGGGGCGTATCAGGGTGCTCCCAATACAAAACGTATCGATTGATATGGGCCAATACATAACGATTTTTTGACCCTTGGTATGGAGGAATAGCCATTCTATCACCACCCCGCCCCAGAATGAGATTCTCATTCTAGAGTCTGTTAATAAGTGAACTCCTAATAAGAAAACCCCAAACCCTAATATAAATAAAACATTAGTAAAATAATTGTAATAATGATGATAATAAATATTATAATTAAATAATAATCAAATAATGTTATTATAATAAATTAATAATATTAAAGTACAAAAAATTATTATAATATAATTAAAGTAATAAAAATATATTAATTATTCAATAATGATAAATTAATATTAAAAATAATAGAATATTAATAAAACTAGTAATAAAATAGAAAATAATCAACTTGTCATTAAAATTTTCATAATAAAGTGATAATAAAATAATAATTAATAATTAATAATAAAACAATAATAAAGCACTACTATAATAATAATAATAATAACAGAACATTAATGAATTAATTCAAATTGACAATTTTCGAGTGATTCCAATTCCAAATTCAAATGACCCAAATAGGAATTTTACTCCAATCATCAAAAAGGCATTGGAAATAGAAGATGCACAGTTCTTTCTATTTTGCTTCTTTATTCTCATTTTCTCTTTGCTTTATTTTTCATTGTATCAAAATAAAATAATAGCGAGATATGGGGTTTTAACCGTTCAGTCCACCCCTAGGGTGGAGTTGATTATTCATTCACCACTGGGTGTGGTGATGGCCGTCTAGTCTATACTCTTATCGGTCTTTCCGAGGCTTGGAAAAAGTAACAAGAATGGAGGAGTTTCACCGGAATCACAGCACAGCCAACCTGACGTTTCGCTTACTCGGTTGCAGTTTCTATTTCGTTTTGCTTTTTTCTATTTTGTCTCTTGTATGATTGGTCAACAGACTCAACACAGCTGTTGCTGTCATCATTGCCGATTTGAAACCAACAATACGAGGTTACAGCCCACGGACCCCCCCACCGCACCTTCAAAGCTTGGACAAAACCTCCAACGTGGCAGACAATAACTGGATAACGTGTCACAACCCCGTCATATCACAGAAAGGGGATGAGTTGTAGATGGACAAGAAGGAAGATGCAGGTCCAGAACATCGAATGACTCCCGGTGCAAGGGGCCAGGGTGGGAAAAGAAAACAAAGCGAAGAGCATCCAATGACGTGGATGAGAAAGAAAGCATTTAAGAGTGAGAGGCTGAGAGCAGAACTATTGCAGGAAGAGAGTATGTATGTGCTGTGTGTCAAACAGGAGTACAAACACCTCTGCTTTTTGTACGGGCTCGGTCAAACTTACAAGACCTGATATGCTAGGAAAAACATGCCACGTGAGCAAAGTCGTCCAACATGGCAGAAGAGGCTTAACTGTAAGCAACTATTGTCTTGATTGGCCCAGGCTTTTCTGGGTCTTCCTTTTTTTTTACAGTTGTATGTAATATTTTTTGTATGAAAACACGGACTGATGATTTCGTTTCACTACTTCACTTGGGTGACCGAGCCAACTTTTCTCATCTCACCTCACCTCACCTCCGTCTGTTATGTATAATTGCTTGGCAGACATCACAAGAACCGGGTACTTGGTAGTTCATACTTCAGAGTAGTGCACCTCATTCTCTTAATGGTCATATTCTGCACATCAAGGATCTATACTCTTTATATATAGCATTTATTTTATACCAAAAACAAAAGCAAAGGGTTATAATAAATACACAGAGAGACCATCAGCAACATTCAGCCCAACGCCAGCTACATTCACAGTCCACAATCAATTGTGGCAAAGCATCTTTCCAATTACAATGTCAGCCATGATTTATTTATTAATCTTTCTATGAACGGACGCTAATCAGATTGAGAGACAATCTGGCAAAAAGTTCTATATATTACCCAAAAAAAATCTCCACTTTTAAGTGATAGCACAAAGCTCGTTACCTGTCCACCGGGGATATGCCCAAGATAAATGAGGGGGGGTGTCTGCGTGACATGTTCTTCGTTGCGCACTTCAGCATAACCTAAATATCCTTTCTATTGTGCGCCGCGCAAAAAAAAAATTATATATATATATATATATATATATATATATATATTAAAATTAATACGAACCAAAAAAGAGTGGCGTACGAGTATTAGCGTCTTGCAGCCATCTACCCGCCACGAAACGGCGGCAGAAGGTGGCTGAGAATGTAGAGACTAGAGAGAGAGAGAAGGAAGATGATAGATACTTCCATGTTTCCAGTGTTCCAGTGTGTAAACCATAATCAAATCCTCGATATTGTAAATTGCATGTGAAACATTATCTTTTTCTGGAATTACAAGTCGAAAGAGAAAGAGAGGAGAGATACGAGAGGGAGCGGATGAGCAATGTGCAAATTAACTGACCTGAGCACGACTCAAAGTCTTCGGTTGCTGAAGCTGAGGCTCAGTGCTCATCAAGCACCCATTAGGCGGCGTGGCTGTTGCATTTGTAGAGGGAGTAGTAGTCATGCTGCTGCCTTTGGTGGAATTAAACACTTCTTCCGGAAACCGAGAATCCCCATCACCAATAATGCCGTCGTCGTCATCGCCGTCCCCGTCACCATCACCATTACTACCGAAGAAGCTGTTCGAGCTATCACCTTCGTTGCCATCTAACCCATCTCCATCATCCGTCCCGTCATCTTCTCTCGTAATATTCCCATTACTGCTATGAACCACCTTTTTGTTGGAAACTGCGTTTGAATGGCCGCCGATAGCCATTGGCTCCGTCAAATTCTTCCCGTCTCGAGGCGGAGAAAACACCACTGGCAGGTACTCGTCCGTCTCGCACGCAAACTTTGAGTTCTTGAAGTGCTCTTTTAATGCCTCCAAGCCCTAAACTCGCCGGTCAACAACACCGCCCAACAAATACAAATACATTTGTTATGTATCAATGTTTGTTAAACCGTAACAAGAAATTTTCAATGAATTGAAGTAACATTTTATATAATATAATTGTACCTGTAACCGAGCATAAGTAACTTCACAGATTTTTCTCGAGTTGAAGACTTCCCACGGCTGCAAGTGGAAAGCTTTGTAGAGCCTCCATGTCGCCTGGGGAGACGTTAGGTTCACGAACCCATATCCAACATTACACTTGTTACTGATACCAGCAAAGACCACGGAGGAGGACACACAAAATTATAACAGAAATGAAAATTAAATAGTTAACAAAGACTTGAAAAATTCAAATTTAAGATTAAATATTTGATTTGGTTAAACAACAAAGATTAAAAAAGTTACTTGAAATCAATAGGGAGATAAACGAAATCGTAGGATGATAATGGCTGATCATCGCCGTCGCCAATCTGCTCGTTGCAGTGTATGCAGTGGTTGTCCAGCATGTTCAAAAGCAACGCCTGACTGCACCACATCACAAACCCAAAGCCAAGAAAAAGAAAAAACATAACCCAGATGGAAAAACAAACAAAAATAAATTGTTGTCGAATTAAATTTAGTAATCACAAGGAAAGATCAGCACTTGGGAGCAAAGCACCTGTACTTGTTGGGTATGTTCTTAATCATCACAGTGGTTCTGGTATCTCTGCAATCCGAGTCAACAATCGCGTTCTCATTGATCATGAAATAAGCTTCCGAGTTCTTCTGTCTGCCCTTCCATGGCCGAATCTTCGCCTGCTTCGTTGCTGTCGAAGAATTATTACTACTTTTGTTGCTGCTGCTCTTCCTAGCGCTCCTCCTCGACGACCCATTGCAGTCTCCCTCCCCTTCAATCCCATTTCCAACAGAATTTAGAGCCAACGAACCCATGGAAACAGCTACAGCTGCTTCCGCTCCATAATTTGATCTTGGATCGTTATTCCAGGTAGCATTCCCCCCGATAATACCCGTCTTCTTATTCGGGTATTGAGTTCGAGAGGGATGAGTTATACAAGAATCTGAGGTTGAGCAACCAGACAATCTAGGACGTAGCGGCGGAGGTGTTGGTGTTTGCGAGTAATTCCCATTACTTGTGTGATAGCTGCTTCTACCATTAAAGTCAAAAACCGCTTTGTTGGAGTTGATAACGGCGGCGGAGATGGTAGTCGCACTAGAAGTTGCTGCATTCAACAACCTTCTTCCATGGCCACCAGGGCGACTGAATTCAATTACTATATTCTTACCGTGAAGTTCACTTCCGTTCATTTCTGATAAAGCTCTAGCTGCATCTCTTACATCGAAAAACTCCACAAACCTCTGGTGCCGCTTGGATGGCGTTTCCCTCAATTCCTTCACAGGCCCTGATTTATTACAAAACAATTCAACAAAAAGCAACCAGAAATTAAAACTGTTAATGAAAAACAATAATTAATAAATAAATAACCTTTTCAAAAAAATAAATAAATAAGACCCCCAATGACGAAGATAAGGGGAGAAAAGATACAGGCTCAAAAGAATCGAATGATAAACAGGCTGTCAAATAATAAAGAGATGAAAGAAAAAAAAAATGAATGCATGATAACGAAGAAAAACTCTGGATATGGATGGATGCCCCCACAACCCCATAAGAAACAACTGAACAAAAGCGTCCGACATATATACTACACAGAAAGAAACAGATACTGATGTTTTCTTGTTCAACTATTATACAGACTAAAGAGTGAACCTCTTTAAATGCGTGATTGCCCTCAAGCGCAAGTCTATTCCAACAGTAAAAATGAGGGAAAGAGGAGAGGAGAAAATAGAATCAACTAGCTCGGAATAAAATCAAGAAATCAATAAACCCATAAAATTACACCACGCATAGAATCAACGAATGTTTGCCTTATTCGTCTTCGGCTCATACCAAAAGCCTCGAAAATTTCTTTAAGCTTGTTTGTCGAAACCCCCAAATCCAAGTTGAAGACCACTAGCGTCCCTTGGTTATGCCCGTCGGGCCCAATAGTTGGCGTCGGTACCGTAAACTGCGCCCAAACAGCGCGCCCAGCGATAAGCCCACGCGCCGGTGGGGGCACCGGAGCCTCCGAGTTCTCCCCTTCAAACCATATATTCCGGTTCAACAATGAGTTGTAGTATTGTCTCAGCCTACTTTGCTGCTGCATGTGCTGCTCTCGTATCTCCCTCATCGCTGCCTGTGCATGCCTCGTATCATAGAAATGAACCGTCACGATACCCTCCTGTAACCTCTCCATTTGAACCGCCCTCACCTCACCAAACACCTCCAATTCTCTTCTCACTATTGTTTCATCAACGTCCTTCTGCACAGAGCTAAGAAGCAATGCTCTTGTCGCCGTAGATGAAGGCGGCGGAAGCGGTGGCGGCAGTTGAGGTGGATTTATGCTGTTTGGTCTGGGGTACGCCGCTAGAGGGGATGAATGGTAGCCATCATAGAAACGCATCGCTTGAACTCCTGTAGGTGGGAAGGAAGAAGGGCATGGGTAGTAAATTTGCGGTGGAAGGAGAGTAACCTGGTTGTGCAGAGAAGGATTTCTCGGTCGGAACTCTTGCGCTCGAGGATCCAAGTGTCCTGGATGCCTTGAGATTCCAGTATCGTCCATGGCGGTTACGGCTCCTTCACTTGCCGCACCGGAAAACCAGGAAGGAGAAAAAACCTTTCGTCTCTCAACCTTCCTTCCTTCCTTTTTCCCTTTTCCTTGGTGTTTTAACTGTCTCTATCGTCGGCCTGAAACCACTGTCGTACCTAAATCAGTTTATCGGCGAGAAGCTAAAACGTTAAATCTGGCGCATTAACGTATAGATGGTTTTCCGGCATACCTTAAAAAGTCTAGCCCTCACTTCAGCTCACCGGTAACGGTCCCTTGACTTACCCTTCTAGAAGACTAGAACCATCTCTCTCTCGAGTTTCTCCCCGTCTCTCTACTCTCTAGCGGTGGGAACTGGAAAGCTTAAAAGCCTAAACCGGTCCTTCGCTTATTTCGTGCCCATCTTGTTAAAAATGATTCATTCCAGGGAAATTTGTCAATTAGTATCATGTACTTTACGTCAATTGCCACTTTAATCCCTAAATTTTAAAATGCGATAATCAGTACCCGAATTATTCATTACCCTGTGTTATTTGATAATTAATCAGCCGTTAATTAATTATGTAAATATTTATAAAAATAAATAAATAGTCTCAAATTTTTGCTTCTTTAGCGATTATCAGAATGTTCGCTCAAAGTAATCCCAACTTTCTTCAATTGAAAAATCAAGGGTTTGGGACTTTTAATATTTTGTCAATAATACTTAGATAATTGATAAAAAAAATTAAATAACATTTAAAAGGTATTTATATCCTTTTAAAATGTTACTTAAAAATAAGTTAACCGTTGATTAATAATAGATATTTAATTGTCACATTTTGAAAGTTTGAATACTGAATTATCGTATCTTAAAGTTTAGGGACCAAAGTGACACTTGGCACAATGTATAGGATATTAATCATAAATTTTCCCTTTAAAATAAGACAAATTTTTTAAAATATTCCTACTGTTTAGCTAATTGACAATAATATCTTAAAATAGATCAAATTTCTTAAACCACTCTTAATATCTATGATAATAGTCATCACCTTTTGACGGAAAAAATAAAAAGTCATATTTACCCTTCATTTCTCATGTTTTCTAAATAAAATAAAATATCAAATTTACCCCCAATCCTAAATGTCGATCCTCGCCAGTAATCTGAAGACGGGTAATCAAGCAACAAATCACAAACACCTTAAAAAAAAATATGGATAACTCTCCATTTTCTTCTCTACCCAGGACCAAGACAGTCACAGTACCCACACACAAGTCTTCTCAGATATGCTCCCGGCACGGCTCGTGGGATGGCAACAAGGGCATGTGTGGCCACGTATAAGGTTTGTTGGAGCACAGGTTGTTTCGGTTCGAAAATACTTGTCGGAATGGATTGAGCCATCACCAACGATGTGGATGTGCTATCACATACTCTCTCTCTCCCCCTCTCTCTTTCTCACCCGCTTTCTATCCGTCATTGCCATCGCCACTACAACTTCAAGCGGCAGTGGCAGTGGTCTCTCTCTCTGCTCTTTACTCTCTCTCTCTCCCCCTTCGCTCTTTTTGTCCACGACCGCCATTGCCACTGCAACTTCAAGTGGAAATGGTAGTTGTCTCTCACTCTGCTCTCCGTCTCTCTCCCACTTTTTTGTTCGTTGCCACCATCGCCGCTGTAACTTCAAGAGACAATAGCAATGGGCTCTCCCTGCTCTTTGTCTCCCTCCAACTTTATGTCCGTCACCGCCATTGCCGCTACAACTTCAAGCGGCAGTGGCAATGATCTCTCTCTACTCTTTGTCTCTCTCCCCCTTTCGCTCTTTCTGTTTGTTGTCGCCATCGCTGCTACAACTTCAAGCGGCAGTGACAATTACTTATTTTTTACTTACTCCCCCAATCTTTCTCTCTCCACTCTTTGTCTCTCTCCTCTTTCATTCTCTACAGTGGCATCTTCATGGACAATCGGCCATGCCATCGACGAAGGACAGAGAGAGGTTCCCACCAATCATTCGGTCGTGCCAAAACCAAGACACAAGAAACCAAATCATTCTCCTCATCTTTCGAAACCCTATTTCTCCTCTCTTCCTCCTCTGCAAGTCCATCGTTTTCTTTCTTCTTCCTATGCAAAAACCAAGAAAAAGACACCCCAAGAAGCTGGTCTCTTTCTCTCTCTCCACACAGGTTCAATCAATTGTTGGTCGAAGCAAATAATCTGCCGATCAACCTTCTCTCTCGCTTGATCTGGCATTTTAAGGTTTGCAGGGTTTCAAGTCCAACGTAATCTCCAATCCATCAAGTTTGTGGGATTTGCAGTAAAACCCCACCGATATCTTTCCGATAAAGATGAAGAGAGTAATATTGGATTTTTAAAAAAAATTATCGATCAAATAATGTCACATGTTACGGATTTTGCTAGAAACATTAAGGGTGGTTTAAGACAATGATTAAACAACAAGCATACAATTTGTCAATTAGTTAAACACTAGGAATAGTTTAAAAAAAAATTCTCTTGAAAATACCATAAATGCCATTTGCCTTTTGTGTCTTAGTAACTTTTGTTTTCTTCTTTTTCATGGTTTGTTTAGGAGTTAATGGCAATACTCTAAACATAGCACGCTATGCTATGTATTTTTAGTGCTTGTATTCTTAAATATAAGTATGCAAATGATACTTCGATGAGAAGAAATTTGGCCCTCCAATTACAGACCGCCCGTGGTGGGTGCAAACCATTTTATTACACTTCAACGTTATATGTGGTCGATCTCGTTCAAGCAAAAATCAGTTTATGGCTTTATGCCACCTTTTATATATGAACCCAACCTTAGGAGTACATCACCCCGAGTTCACATCTGTGCCCCATAATGTCCCACAGCATATCTCCACCGTGTATTGGGAACATCTCCTAATGATGATATCATCATTTCTAGTACATTATTGGGAGATGTTCCCAGTACATGGCGGGGATGTTTTGTGGAACGTTGTGGGGCACAGATGTGAACTCCATCACCTCAAGGTTATAGATCAAGGATTCCGATGATCGATTTATCTTCGATCTAGGCAACTAACAGCATAAGTAGCCAACCAATCCTCGAAGTACCGACCTACATGATGTGTCCTCTCTTATTCGCCCACTCACCTAGAGACCCCGAAGCACATAGTGACACATCACACCTAGCAACAATTAGCAGGATTTCACTCACTTTTGCACATAACTGGATAAGAATCATCACAACATCGAAGAGACATGCTTCGTAAACAACGGGCGGATAAGCCCTATCACCTCCAAACGAGTTCAGAACTGGGCCCCATAAGGGGCGCCCCACAATGTCCCATAACACATCCCCGCCGTGTATTGAGAACATGTCCTAATGATAGTACCAGAAATGATGATGTCATCATCGGGAGGTATTCCCAATACACGATGGAGATGTGCTATGGGACATTGTGGGGTGCAGATGTGAACTCCCTCTGAACATGTTGAATACACCATGTTGAGCCCCAACACCTATATAAAGGTGATTCCATACCTTCACAAGATACACTCCACATAATATCATACACTTAGCTCTCTACTTTGAATATCTCAGTTCTCACTTTCTTCTATTAGCAAAGCTAACTTCACCATCGGAGTGCATTAACTGAGTCAATCCCCCGGGCCCACAAAATTGGCCTCCCTTTTGTCCGAATAATCGATTCGAAACAGTTCAAGCATCATAAAAAATTGGGAAATTGTCTAAAACCCACCATGAGTTTTCAACATTTCTCTTAAACTCGCCACAATTTTTCAAAAATGTCTAAAATTCACCATGTCACTAACTTGACGTTAAACAGACTAATGGGCGGTAATATATTACCATTTTAACCTTCATAGAAAATATTAAATATATACAAAATAAATTAACGGGTGTTAATATATTACCATTTTAATATTTAGACATAAAAAAAGGAAAAAGTTCAATAAAATATTTTCAAATATAAAACACATAAAAACATAGAAATTACAAAAAAAATATATAGAAATTCCAAATAAAATAAAAAATAATAATTTTAAATTATAGAAACTATAGAAATTGAAAAATAAAATAGAAAATAAAAATTGTAAAAGAAAACACAGAAATTGTAAGCAAATAACAAAAATACAGAAAAATTTATAAATTGTAGAAAATAACAGCCGTCTGATATACTGACGAGAAGATAGCATTTGTGTCCACTTTCCATACTCAAAGCATGTATACCACGTGTACCGCTCGTATTCCTACGTACGGGTTACCCATTTCAAGAAAAAAAATACGACCCTAAAACCCGAAAAGAGATGAGCCACTTTTATTACTTTTACTAATAGCTCATTCGCGAAAAAAAAATATTTGCTAGACAGATGACATGCCATCTCATTCTAAAGATGGCATCCACGCCATCATCTTGTCGATGCCACTCCCAGTGGATAATCATAGTCGTCTATGAGTCAGGCTGTTCAATGTTTTAAAAAATGACCCAGAAACGAAAATGTATGGCCACTGGTTTTCGGGCCAATGGTTTGACTGTTCAGTCGGAATAGATGATTCGTCTTAATAAAAATAAATTTAAAAATAATAATAATTAAAATTTAAAAGTGGAAAAAAATCTGTTGAACGGTCAATGATTTGCCTATTCGAGTCAACAAATCATTGACTGATTCAACGGTTTTTTGTCAGGTACTAACTTTGGGGTAAAACGGAACCAATTGCCTAAATGGTTCCTAGGTCGACGGTCCTATACACCATGTCCCCTTCCTCATGATGCTTTAAGAGAGTGTATCTTCTATATAAACTAACGGTGACCCATGTAATGTAAGGGATGTTGTATTTATATTTTTTTATGTGTAAAATAGTGGAATTTTTTTTTCTTTTTAGCTATTAAGGTTAAAACTTTCATTTTTATATAGTTTATATATTATGAGAAACACATAAACCAAGTGATAGTGGCTCAATTGATACCTTATCTAGTTGAGGCAATGGGTAGAGATTTGGGTTGGGGCAATGGGTTACCTCCCATTGTGTAGTCCTATAAAGCTAAAAAATGTGCTTAGCATGAAATTAATAACTAAGTTAAAAAAAAACAATTTAAAAAATAAACTGATGAAGATAACCAAAAACTCACATTTAATTCTTCTTACTAGATTTTATTATTGAACCGAAACAATCCATTAAACAAATCTACATTAAATTAAATAATAAAAACAAAGGAAAAAAACTTTAACCCATGGAAAGGATTAAAATAGAGGAAAAAATTGGTAACTCAAAGAAATAAGTAATGATTTATTTAGATTGGTTCACCCTATGTACTGGTGGACAAATTTGGGTCCAAACTAAAGTTCATATTTAGGTTGATCATTAATCTAACCCAATCCATCTAATTTATACCCTACTTTATTAGAGAGAGTTAAAAGGAATTAAGGGATAT